AATCCCAGCACTTTGGGAGGCCGAGGTGAGAGGACTGCCTGAGCCCATGGGTTCGAGACCCGCCTGGGCAACTTGGTGAGACCTTGTCTCTACAATGAATATAAAATTAGCTGGGTGTGGTGGCCTGTGCCTGTAGTTCCAACCACTTGGAAGGCCGAGGCGGGAGGATCGCCTAAGCCCCGCAGGTCAAGGCTGCAGTGGCCAAGAGCGTGCCACTGCACAAAAATTATTGTACAGTGTATGCACGTATCAGAATATCACATGTACCTCATAAATGTGTACAATTACATATCTATTGTAAAAATTCAGTGTGGGCTGGTCAGAGTGGCTGATCTCTATAATCCCAGTACTTTGGGAAGCCAAGGCAGGAGGATCACTTAGGGCCAGGAGTTCAAGACCAGCCTGAGTAACATGGGAAGACCCAATTTCTAAAAAGGGGAAAAAAAAAAAAAGCCAAGCATGGTGGTATGTATCTGTGGTCCCAGCTACTTGGGGGGCTGAGGTGAGAGGGTCACTTAAGCCTAGGAGTTCAAGGCTACAGTGAGCTGTGATCACACCACTGAACTCTAGCCTGGGTGACAAAGCCAGACCTTGTCTCTAAAAATGAAAAACAAGCCAGGCACGGTGGCTTAGGCCTGTAATCATGGCACTTTGGGAGGCGGAGACAAGAGGAATGCCTGAATCCAGGCGTGCGAGACCATCCTGGGCAACCTGGCAATTCCTTATCTCTACAATAGATCAAAAAATAAGCTGGATGTGGTGCCGTGCGCCTGAGGTTTCAGCTACTTGGAAGGCTGAGACGGAAGGATCGTCTGAGCCCAGCAGGTCAAGGCTACAGTGGCCGTGAGCGTGCCACTACACTCCAGCCTGGGCAACAGAGTGAGACTCCAACTCAAAAAATAAAAATAAGGAGGCAGGGAAGGGAAGGGAGGTGGGATTAACAGTAGTCGATATCTGTCTGGGGACGGGGAGACACCCCTTATCAACAAGGGTGCCAGAACGAAGCATATTTGTATACCTAACCCTTAACTGTACCCCATAATATCAAAATAAAAAATATTGATATATAAATAAATAAAATAAAATTCAGTGTGCTCAAATAATCCATTCTTGTTATTTTCTTATCACTTTGTTCAAAATGTGGCCAGCAGGAGCCTCCTTCAAGTTGGCTCTTGTGTCCTCTTGACTAGACCCCATCCGCTTTTAAGCATTCCCCGACTTTCCTACACAAGACGTTCCGGGTTCACTTCGTGATTTTCTTGCCTTGATCCTAGAATCAGCCACTTCTCCAAAACCTTCTGGTTTCTTCCAGTGGGGAGGAGGGATTGGTATTTGGAAACCAAGATCTGGGTGCCAAGTTTGCTGAGTGCTACCAAGGTGTCTCTGCTTCTAGGCCTTTCCTGACAACAGAGCTTGTAAGTTGTGTTTTTTTATGCAAGTTTTTACTGAGACTTCAGTTCCACTCCCAACACCACAGGATTCTCCCTCTTCTCGTTCTGCACCTCACTGTCTCTTCTTTCAGGGAGAACCCTTGTTCCCAACTGCAGGAATGTACCCGTTTATTCGTTTGATCTGTCCCACAGTACATGCAAGATGATTTCAGAGTTACTACAATATACCAGTACCACAGCAGATGAAACTCACTCTTTCTTTCCAGTTCTTTCATGCTTTGGAGTCTCCCTAAAGATATTCAAAATTCACTAGAATTTCTACCACGTGGTTGCATTCTCTTGAAATATAGTTTCATTGTTTAATATAGGCTCTTTGTTTTGGTTTGGTTTTTTTGAGTTGGAGTCTCACTCTGTCACCCAGGCTGGAGAGCGGTGACATGATCACAGCTTGCTGCAGCCTTGATCTCCTGGGCCCAGGACCAGGCAATCCTCCTGCTTAAGTCTCCTGAGTAGCCTGGGCGATAGGCTAATTTTTTTTTTTAATTGTCAGGCGGGTCATGTGCCAGTGTTATAACAAGGTTTAATGGTGGCACATGCATCGTGCCTATGAACTACAGAAGGATCAGGGATAATTGTTTTGCAGCAGCAAAGTCTCGCAACGTTGCCCAGGCTGGTCTCAAACTCCTGGGCTCAAGCAGTCCTCTCGCCTTGGCCTCCCAAAGTGCTGAGATTACAGGCGTGAGCTACTGCCCAGCCTGAACCTCGCCTTCCTAAATCATAAAGGAACAAAAGGCAGTTCAACTGGCTTTTTCCCTCTTGCAGAGCACTTACGGAGTTCGGTGATCGATCGGAAAGACTTAATCATCAAAAGGATTAAGCCCAAGCCCCAGCAAGGAGATGACATCACCGTGGTGGATGTGGAGAAGCAGATCGAGGCCTTCCGCATCCGCCTGGTCCACATGCTGGGGGAGCCTCTCGTCCCCCAGCTCCAGGACAAGGTGCACTTGCTGAAGCTCCTGCTCTTCTTTGCTGCGGACTTGAACCCCGACACGGAGCCCTCGCCAAAGAGCTGGAGCAGCCCGAGGCCCGCTGAACGTGGAGAATCCTCCTGAACTCTCACCCACTGCTTGGAGGCCCTCGAGTGTGAGAAGTAGTTCAGGAGCTGACAGGACCAAACCCACGTTATTTATCGTAGATTGAACTTACTTTTTTTTAGCAAACGTCCTTTTTTTTTTTTATAATCCTATCCTAGCTGCTTCTCAAATATGGCTTAAATATACAAGGTGTATATATTTTTTAATAAATTATTTATCTATACTTTTTTGAACAGGTGACACTGTATGCACTATACATTGACCATCTCCATCCAAGTGTGAGAAAAAGACCCTCTGCCGAATGAACTACATGTCAGCATTATGTCTTTCAAGACACTGACAGCCTGTTTCTGGAGGGACGTTTGTTTTTGCCTAATGCAACAAGCATTCTATATTAGACCTGTTATAATGCCTAAGATTTTGACTTTGTGGCCAGTCTATTCACATCGAATGTTATGAAGGGGGGTGGAAACAAAATCAAGTGTGTCACAAAACATTTGATGTTACAAGGATGTAATAAAAACTAACGGTTTTTCAACAAAACACCAAGTTTCCTGTGCTTAGGTTCCGTGACTTGGGTAGCCAGAATGCAAGAGCTATTCTTAAAAGAACAAAAGAAAAGATATATTTGAGAAAGTAGTAAGGATTTTTATTGTCCAAACAGGAGATACCAGAAGACACAAATAAATTAACGGTTCTGATCGTCTGACACTCCAGAGCCTCTCTGGAAAGGTCAGCGTGGTGCAGCCAAGGTACTCTGCCCAACACAAAAAAGGGATCTGAGACGGCGTTCACGACCATGACTCGTGGGCACCCGGGGAAGAGGCGGGAAGGGCCGTGTCCCGCCTGCCTTTCCTCAGGAAGGGAAGTTGCATAAAGGTGTGAGGCTCGTGCTGGTGGGAAATGCCTTCATTGAGATGCTCGGAATTCTTCCACCTCCCTGCCAAGAATGTTTCAGACCCTGACCTGAACAAGGAAAGCAAAACAAGGTGACAGTGTCCGTGAGCCTCAGGACAGCACAAACCAACTAGCTACCATCCTCTGACTTTAAAAATGGTTACACTCACTCATACGGACCAAATCGGTAGGCTGAATTTCTCCCTCAGGAAGTTTTCAACCAAACAGGAGTTCAATTAATGTCGTGTTAAAGTGCAAGAAAGGCTTTGAGGACTCGTGTTTGTTCCTGACGGAAAAGAGAAGCATGCCCAGCAGCACCGGGCAGCAACCTGCTCGGTCCACCCCAAGCAGGAAGACTCCAGCCAGGTTCAGCCTGGACAGAGGGCCCTGCGGAGCCTGGCTCATCTGCTTCAGGCCTCAGTCGCATCTTGGGCTCCTGACCGGGCCAGGCCAGCGCTGCTGCAGCTGGTGGCGAACACCTGCACACCCTGACTTGCCAGTACTCCCGTGAGCCATGGACAAAGGCTCGAGAAGCCTGGCTTGGGAGCAGGATTCTTGTCCTGGGCCAAGGAAAAGCAAACAGGAAGTGAGGCCCCTCATCGTGAGGTTATGGCGGGGATGGCTTCGTCTTCCTTGAAAGCCATAGAAAAATGCCGGGCGTGGTGGCTCAGGCCTACCATCCCAGCACTTGGGGAGGCAGAGGTGAGAGAACTGCCTGAGCTCAGGGGTTCAAGACCAGCCTGGACAACTTGGTGAGACCTCGTCTTTACAATAGACCAAAAAATCAGCCGGGTGTGGTGGCGCGTGCCTGTGATTCCGGCTGCTTGGAAGGCAGAGGTGGAAGGATCGCCGGAGCCCAGTGGGTCAACAGAAAAACTGCACAAAATGGCTCCCTCCATACAACAGCAAGCTTTGCAGTAATGCGTCTCAAAAACGAACCATGTCTCCAGCTCTGGCCTCAGTTTAACAGACTTTTAAAAACATGTTCCTTTCCTATGTCCGAGCCAAGGCGGAAGGGGTATGGGGTACGCGAAACCGCCTTTCCAGCATTCCTGGAATAGACAGGGCTCTAGAAGCCGGTGGGGGTGAGCACATTCAAGTCTCGGGGTTTGAGACTATGGGCCCGTGGTGGCGGCTTCTTCCCTTCCATCACCGGGACGTCCATTTTGGGGGGCCTGAAAGTTGCTGGATCCTCAGCCATCCGGGTGGCCTGGACGCGGATCAGCTCCATTGGAGACGGCTTCGGGGCTCCTGGGTGGGCCTGGGTGGCAAAAGTTCCTACAGAGGTGAACAGAGACAAAGGATTCCACATTGCAGGTGGCGCCCGGTGCACAGCACGGCAAGACACCTGCCGCATCGCTCTGTCTGAGAAGGCACTGCCTTACCTGAATCATACTTCTGGAGGGATCTTGGTCCAAACAGGCTCCATTTATCTGATGCGGGTCTGTCCCTATCCCCACTTCCGGGGTCCATGGGGCTGGGGTTGGGACCAGGTAAGGCTGCAGAAGAGCCAGAAGTGAACCAGCCTCTGGAAGAGAGAGCAAAAAACACATCCTAATCCCTTCTCTTCCTAAACCCCTGGACGTGCCCCGCACCCTGGGAACAGGCATGGGGGGCAGCCGTCTGACACGCTGGGGTGGGCGGCCTGGAGGGGCTCACCTGGGCCTCTTGGGGGAGGAGTGCGGGCTGCTGCTAGGGGTGGACTGGGCGGATGCAGGTTGCTTCTCTTCCTTCGCCGTCTCTCCGCTCTGTAGCTTGAGTTTCTGTCAGATGGGCAGAAGAGGCTTTGAGAAATGACAGAAAATGCAGGACAGCCAAGCCTGAGCATCGAGTCTGGTTCCCATTCTAGCGTTAGGCACAAGGAAAAACATCCACCAGTGGGATGATTTTAGATGACTTAACATGTTCCTTTTCTTTTGAGTTGGAGTCTCACTCTGTCGCCCAGACTAGAATGCAGTGGCCGCTCCCGGCCACCGCAGCCTCGCCTGCTGGGCTCCAGCGATCCTTCC